ACCCCCCCCCCCCCAAAAAAAAAACAACACAACAAAAAACAAGAAGCAAACCAACCAAGACTTGAGTACCACAACGACAAGAAGTCCAGCTACTAACATCTCTCCAAACCTTCGACCCTATCCCTAACAGAATCCCATTGAAATCCCTGACTTGCAACATGTGACAACTATGTTGGGCGGCTGTTTTTGTCTCTACCACCAACAACAACAGTAAAAGACAAAGACGATTAAAACACGGTATCTTTCTTCAGAAGATGGGCAAGTCAAAGGTCCGTGGAACATGGTTTTATTCTTGTTTGGTATTTGGCTGTGATTTGGGGTGGTTCTAGATTCTTTGAACCAAAAGGAGTCACACAAAACAACAACCAAAAACAGCACGGGTCGGTTGATCGGGTTCCTCCCATGTTTCCTCCAGTGCGACATCTTTCAACCATCACTGGGTCCCGGAACGAGCCAACTTCATGAACCAATGATGGACAAAGGCCACTGAATGCAGTTGCAGTTGTTGCAGTTGCAGTTCTTTAGGATCTAAAGGTGGCATGTGGATTGCACCTGCCTCCGCCCGAATGGCTGGCTCCAACGAGACTCCTCGCCTAGCCCTCATCCAGCCGAACGGTGCTCTTGCGGCTCGAGACCTTGGACAGAAACACCCCCTGCCACGCCACGCCTCCCCCTGCCAAAGCCACCGCGTGGCGTACGCATGCGTACGCCCCAAAGCAGTGGCGGCTCTTGTATAGACTTTTGGTGTGGGTGGTGCGGAAGCGGAGTTAACACTTGATAGAGACTGTGACATTGCCATTGCTAACAAAACATCCAAAAACCAATGGATGCTGGGGTCTGGTGCTGATCACTTGCGGCTCGGGAACTTCATATCCCTTGGCCGAATACTGAAGGCGAGTCCTGTATAGGCTCCGGTTGCCATGGCGGGTCCCTCAGAAGAGTTGTTAGCTCCCCTGCCATTCGGACGGGAAGATCATGGAACGGAACCAGCCCACTGGGTTGGCAAATTGAAATTTATGGCCGAAAGCACTGGTCGATTCTCAGGTTCCACGTTAGGAAATGCGGGAGAGGGTTTTTTTGATGTTTCACCCCTGTCAAGACAAGGATGATGGTAGCCCTCCTCAGCTTGCTTCCTTGCTTTTCACTGTGACTCACTGTCTCCACAGGTAATTTCTTTTCAACACATCACAGCAAGAATATCACATCAGTCTCACCTGTATTCACCTCCCAGTCTCTCTGAACCTTTTTTTGGGGGAGGGTCTGCTTCCACCGCTTCAACGCTGGGCCATCTCCGCTTCATCGGATCGGCGGATCTCCCGGGTTCCCGGGCGGTCCATCGGCTGGTCCGTACCATCCCCAGGCGACGGGCGCGTCGGTGCTCGGCCGTCTCGATGTCCTCGCCGAAGCCCAGGCGGTGGCCTTAGTGGTGGAGCGGTCTGAGCTCTGAACGCAGTGGAGCCGAAGGTGGTCGGCTCAGGTCTTTGAGTGAATGATTTGGGCAAGGGCACCTGTGCCAACCCGTGGGGTGATTTATTTGGGCAGTAAGTCTTAGCTTGGCAGCGAAACTTATGATGGGACACGAGAAGCTTCAATCATTGCCAGACTTCTGAGAAACTCTTATCTGCATTCCAGATCTCAATATCAGATCTCTGCCTCACTTCATCTCTTGCAACTAGCCTGGATGGGGGCCTATTCAACTGGATCTCTTGGTGCTTCTTGGGGTATTGGTCCTAAAGGGTGCAAAGTATAGTCCGGAAAATGGCAGGACATGACCACCGTCGATGTGACGACTTTGAAGACTTTGACACAAACAAAATAACCAAAAAAATGTTCCCAAAGTGAGCTGATCCAACCTATATATCCCTTTTTTGGTGATCCAGTAAGCTACACCAGTGTCACAATTTTCTCCGCAAACCCTTTTGCATCTCGTGCTCACGAACCTGTACACCATAGTACAACCAGTTGTGACAGTTTTGGCACACCTGCTAGCCGCTAGCCAAAGTCCTTTAAAGGCCCGTTGAGACCATTCAGTACCATACAAGTAGCAACTCCGCTGTGTTGGGGAAAAACAGGTTCCTCTACAAACTGGGCCAGTTCATGTTTGAAGGTGGAAGGGTAGTCTGAAGAGTCGCCGAACCCACCAAACAAAATCCATCAAAATCCTATGGGACAACCCGTCCCTGTAAGAAACCCGTCCCTATCAACAATGCGGCAGTTACGGAGATTCTTATCCTGGACCCAGGCAAAGTTGGCCTGGGCCCGAACTTGACATAATAATGCTAATGTAAATTGAAACGTTTCTTCACAGCGAACATCACACGAGGTGGATTTGAATTTGCTGCTTCCAGCAGGGCGGGAGTTCTATCAGCGAAGAAGCATCCTCGACTTCAATTGGCACCGCATGAGGAACGATCTTCGGCGCTCCGGATCGGGTCTCTGGTTGTTTCCAACTCGACCACAGTTTCACTGCGATCGGCCGACATCCAAAAACACCCCACTCAGAACACTTACTTTGTTTTCGGTTCCAAATGATTTTGGATGGATTTCCTTCGACCTCGGACGCCTCCTTCTTCCGTACTCGAACAGCGACGGCGCCGACCTCATCGCCGAGTCGCAGAATCCCGCGGTGTAGAGGACAAACATGAGGGTGCTAAAGCCGGCCGCCACGGCGAAGGGTGCAAAGGGAGAGACCGTATCCTCGATGTGGCAAGCTTCGGATGAGGCGAAGTGCACATAAAAAGACATCAAAAGCTCAGAACAATGGAAACAGGCACATGTATTCAACGCAAAAGACAAGTATAATTACCAAAGGATGCCAAATAGGTTGTTTGTCAATCTTCAGAGATATTCCTGGATCCTGAAGGACATTCTGGAGTGACACTCTTGTAGGACACGCTTGTGCCACACTTTTGCTTGAAAACCTTGCGCGACACTCTTCTATACAGGAACCTTCGCAGTCGAAGACTGCCAAATGGTACCCTAAAAACGATGGTTCAAACCATTGGAAGATCCCTCGCCACACGAGTGGGAGAGTGGGAAGTTTGTTGTCTTCCCCACATCCTGCGCCGCCCTGCGCCACATCTGGGCAATCGTTACAAAAGAAGCGTCATACAGGAGCAGTGCCACAAAGCAAGAAGTGCAGCCGCCCACTGCATCGGCATTCTTGCAGTAGACCTAAAGCATAACTGTTCGGCAACCAGTTGAGACAAACAAAAACTAGACACCCAGTTGCATCAGTTGCGCTGCTAGCGGTTGCATTGTTCATCCAACATGGTTCTCGGAATTAGCAGCACACTTGATAACATTCAGCAGGAATACCAAATCCAGGAGGTTTGGAACATGTTCTTTAAAGATTCCGGGGCGCCCCCGGTGAGTTTCAATGCCTTTTGAGTCTGGCCTTTTGGTACTCTACACTGTCTCGTGCGTCAAAGACAGGCGTCTGACCCGGCCTGCAAGGTGAGGTAGACGTCCGGATCGCCCAAGGAGTAGAAGAGGTTCAAGTCCGTCACGGTCTTTGAGCAGTAGACCTGCTACGAACCCTGAGCCCTTTTTCCCACCAAAAAATGAACAGAAGAAGACTACGAGACATTAAGGAAGTGCTTGGAATCCTGCTGAGTTCCCATTGAGTTTCCTGGTCCTACTTTTGAGGTAAGCCAACAAAGTACATATCTTGCACATGTTCTAGGATGGAAAAGATTGCCACATCCTTGCTGTGCGCATGTTTGTGAAATTGTTTTGAGGCAACAATAGTGATGATGTTCTTGGGGCAAGCAGGAGCTTCGTGCAGAACTGTCTGATTCGGAAAGGAATGACTCGGAACCCCTAACCTCCCACCCACCCCCAATCTTGGATTTGCTTAAGGAACCTACACCAAATGAATATTCCGAAGGGGATTTAGCCATAGGGAAAACATCACCTTAAGCAAAACCCGGCAAGAAAGGCACCGTTTCACGGTACAAAATCTGTCCTGTCCACTTTTGGTTGCACTTTTTGAGTGGTCGTTTGCTCACCCATGAAGCGGCTGCTTTGACAGAAAAAAGACATTAAGCAATATCAGCGATAGAGTTGAGTCTTGCATTGTGCGGCAAGAACAAATAAACATACCCAGGTGTCTTGGGACAAACCTGTGAGTCCTTGATCTGGTCTGGCTGTCGATCCACAACAACTTATACTTATACTTCTTAGGGGTAGAGGATACTTCTACTAGGGGTAGGGTTGTGCCGCTGTTCCATGCAGTGCTTGCCAGCGACTTGGAATTCAGTGCCAGGAGGGCGACTCTGTACACTCAACACAAGCTGCAGGAGAGGCTCCAGGTCAAGGCTCTGAAAATATGCCAAGTGCTTTTGATACTACAGCGACATGCCAAATACTGAGAGAGTGCAACCCACCGTGAATACGGGTGGCGCGATCCTGAACACTCTGTCAACAGCTGTAAACAGTAGGATCAATACAGTCAACACATCTAACAAGTTGTTGTTGATATCAACTAACATGAACGTTGACTCTAGTACAAATTACAATGCCCTCTTTGAACAGTGGAATGATATAGTATATGATGATCCTCCTCCCAAAAAACTGGAAATCCATGAACACGAAACCAAACCAAGCGAACAACTCTGAGGCGCCCACTGGGCTGAATTCCCTTGCATGGCCCTGTTCCTCTTGGTGAACTGTGCTTTTACGCGCCTCGCTGCGTTCCCCTTTTCCTTTCCTTTCCGGCTGTCTCCGACCCCATCATGGTGGCAACTCTTCTCTCCGACCGAGTCGCAAAGACGGTGCCCATGAGGATCTGGGCAATCACTGCTACAGCCAAGGGCGGAGCGCACATCCCAGCACTACCTGGAATTGTGAGGTGAACTGCAAGAGTGTCAAGTGACGTCTTTGTCCAGATGCACCGCTGTTCGCCAAACACACAAAGAAACACAAGGGCACAATTCAAATCCCAGTCTTGGCGAATAAATAACTGTGGCAGCTGTGGTGTTCATGCTGAAGGCCAGGATGATCACAATCATAAACCCAAAGGAAGAGCAAATACCAATAAATTGTTGCAGAAATTGTTCTAACTTGAGAAGGGGAAACAAGAAAGGTAAATAAAGGTAGAGGTATTGACAAGGGGAAAAAACTGGAGGTAGCTCGGCGCAGTAGACTTCTCCAGCATACATCGGCAAAGCGGATGCGTGCGTGCATGCGTGCGTGCGTGCGTGGGTCTGTTAGTGTCTGTCTGTCTGTCTGTCTGTCTGTTTGTCTGTCTGTCTGTCTGTCTGTCCGGTAGCGTGTCGTGTCGTATAAGTGGTCGTAGTCATGAGGGGAGGTTGGTAAGGCATGTGGTGTGGTCAGGTGTGATACCCCGCGTGGTGATCATGGTGGCTGGGGCTTGTGCAGAAGCTTTGCTGTGTAAACGCCGATTTGTGTGGAAGCTGTGGTGTGTAAATGCAATCTCGTGTAAATGCTGGTGTGTGTATCAGCTGGCTGTGGTGGGCAAGAACTTGCTTGTGTAAAAACTGTGCTGTGCAAACACTGCGTGGTGTGTACACGCCGCTTTGTGTAGTCGATCTGTGTAGAAGCTATAGGGTGTGTAACCGCTGGTTTGTGTAAATGTGGTGTCCAAAGGCTGGACTGGGTAACAGCTGTGGTTTGTAAGAACTGCTTTGTTTGCGCCAAAGGCTGTACTGTCGTGTAAACGCTGGCTGTTGTGTTAAAGCCTGCTGTGCGAACACTGGCTGTAGTGTGTCAAACGCTGGTGTGTAAAAGTGCTTTGTGGTTTGAGAGAAATGCTTTGTGTAAAAGCTGTGGCTGGTCGTTGCGGTGCTGGTCCTGCTTGTGCTGCTGGTGGTCGTGGTGTTGGTGGTGGCATAGAATTGATATATATATATATATATGTCATACACAAACACACACATAATATATATATATACACACTCCCGAAAACTAACATGGTCCCCCGAAGGACAGTTTTCCTCTACAAACCAATCGTTTTCACGGTCCATATGGGTTTTCAGCGGAGTATACGCGTAAATTGACGACCAACATGCGACCGTGATACTTACTGCATCTTACAGTATCAGGCTTCTGCACTAGGTCACTAGGTGGAAGCCATGACATTCCAAATGTTCAAACCCACTGCACAGCAGTACGTATGCGCCACTGAGTCCATAATATCTGCAGTTTGTCACCCATGAGGTCAGCACCACTGGGGCATCTGTAACAGTTACCAACAGTGCCGGCTCAGTTCTCAAAAAGCTGGCACACCCAGAACTGCCAAATTTCCGTTGGTGAACCCGCTGCCACAACCCCCCCCCGAATCTGACTTGACTTGGAGACATACCCCACTATCTGCAAATCCAGATGCATAAAATCCAGAAGAAGAGGAGCCAGGAGAGGTTGTACGGCTGCCGTGTCCAACGTTCAAAGCAACCGGCATTCATCGGGTCCTCAGAGGGACCTGAGCTGGAGAATCATGAGGATCCCAAGGGGGGATTGCAATGGCTCAAGAAGCTTCAAAATACGTGGCAAAACGATGAACACACGTTTATTGAAGGAGCATGTGGGCAATGCACCGCCTCATATGTCATAAGCATATCATTGCATCTCAAGAAGTGATTTCCGGTTGCTTTGCCCGAAAATGTCTCCAAGACGCCTGTGCTTGTTCCACACACTTCGAGCGACGCACTCCCGTCTCTCCCGGGGGCTCCCGGTGCTGAGCTCCCGGGCCATAGAGGGCCATGAGCTTAATCATCACGGCCGCAAAGAGATCGCCGGCGGTCTGGCACAAGGAAGCCCAAGTGGCCGAAGTCCAACCGTGGTACTCCTGGAGTGGAACAAGGTGAAGACGACGAACGGGGCGATCGGACGCCATCGCGACACGAACGGAGCGATCGGACGCTACAAGGCAGTATCTCCTGGCCTCGCTACGAACGGAGCAAGTACAGCTACTAGCACGAGGAGGAGTTCTGCGGACGAGAGTGCCAAGGAGTTCAGCGGAGAGGAAGCGGCGCAGTAGAAGACGCCATACCAAGCAGAGCGGGTGAGGAAAAACACAAGTGATTTCAGGTGTGGGACAAAAAGTTAGGGATGGACTTTGGTGGAGACCACATGTGCTCACAACCAAACCTTCGAAAGGGAGTCAGTGATGTTCAGTGTAGGCATTACTTGTGGTGGGAGCCGGATATATGAAGCACCAACCAACGGTCCAGGCTGCCTAGCAGAAAGACCATCCAAACCCTAGCATTCAATGCATCAATGCATCACATCTCTAGTAAAGGAGGTTCTTTCGGCCCCCTGTGCTACTCCAACAATGGTAGAAATGAACCGAACAGCCTTCCTGCACTCATCTAACTGGGTCCATTTTGGTACCGGACTGGGTCGGCATCTTGGGGAGCCCCACCCACATCACTCACCAGAAGGAAAGGACAACCAGTTTCCAAAACCTTTGAGCCGTGATCACAACTGCAGTGGGAGCTTCCCAATGGCTCAATTGTCCAGCAATCAATCGGCAGGCTGAGAAACCTGGTTTGATCTGGTTTATAGGCACCTGTTACCTGGTTTGCACGGAAAGGTAGAGCTTACTCAAACAATGAAGTGAGGCCCTAGGAGCGGGGTTCCCGCCGCCTTTCAAGGGGGCCATGGCGGGCATGGTTGGAGAGATAATACATGCTCTGCAGGTTCAAGCGGCCATTCCTTAAGCTGCACTCGCTATTTGCCTCGCCTTGCTCGCTACTTGTTGACTGAGATAGGCAGGGAACCTTTCTACAAGTGCTTGGTGAATGGTCGTGTCGACACAGGATAACCGCTTTCCAGAAAAAGTTCTGGCCAATTATTCAACTGCATTCTTGGATTGTCCAGAATGCTCCACAATTAGTTTGGTCCATCTGTCTCCTGATTGTTTCTGTTCTTCAACGTCACTACGAAATGATTTCACCTGACTTATCCCACATTGCCCAAACCCTTGAATTTAACGATGAAGCAAATGAACATTTATATACATTTATATACTTACTGCTTTGGCAGTTTGCCCATTCACGGAGACTGCATTCCCAGATTCAAAACCATTTGAGAGCGGGGTGGTGCGGTGGTGCATGTGCAAGCCCAGGCGCTGCCTTACAACCATAGGTGTTCCTGTTGAACAAGTGTATGTTGTATGAGAGTGATACGTGAATACATGAAAATAAACTCCCACTCCTTGAAGAAAATTGCGAAGGTGCCGTATTCCATGGCATAGCTGAGATAGTTGTTCAAGCTGCAAAGCACCTGACTAACTCCAGCAAATATTTGGCAAACATTCCTCGACCAGGTGTCGTACAAACAGGAGAAAAAAGAAACTGTTTTGTTCTGAGCTTCATTCAGGACATCGTAGAACATGAAGCTTTGAGTTCAATTTGCAACCTAAACTACTCAAGGGAGAACCGGCATCTCAAACATAAAACGAGTCCTGCGTATTCCTCACATCCTCCAAGGACAAAACCAGAATTTGACCCATCCAAAACACTGCCCCAAGAATCCAATGACAGTACTTAGGGGTGCCAGCCTCATAGATTTTGGCATATCTTCCCCAAGTGCGACAGTCTTTCATGCAGACTGCAGTCTTCGACGATTTTGGAGTCCGAGTCTTGTGTTACTCCTCCTGCAATATAATGTATTGCTGGAGGCTCAAAATCCGTTGTCCTGAGTATGCACAACTACTTCTTCCAACAAAAAGTGTTCTTTTGTGTTTTATAAAAATGGCGCGAGAACACCTGCTGTTCAGCAGCAAACATACCTCGCGATACAATACACAACTAAGCGCTCACACGGTGCAACATGCATGTTACCAACACCATTGAGTGCACGGAGGGTTGAACAAAAAAGAACGTACATAACGGGACGTTCTCCATGAAACTAGAAGAGAAACACTGTATATACTTTCACTAAATGAAACGTGCATACAACATCTTACAAATCAGTGGAGCCAGGTATTCATCTGGGGGAGGGAGTTAAGCACCCACAGCCTCAAAAAGCATAGATAGATATGGAAAAAACAACATAGAGACATGGAGCCCCAACAAAAACACCTACAAGATGGTCACAGTGGTTTCGGGGAACATCCAGCCCCACCCGTCGGACAAATGACACAAAAAAAGACCAGCTTGAAACGTTGAGTCCCAACACGTCCCAACATCCAGCCAGGAGACCAGTAAGAAAGCGGGAAGCCACAAATCCTTCTTAAGGCCTTTCTTTTTCGGCTTGGCCTCCTGACGACGAGGCGAAGACGAAACAGGGGCCCGAACGAACGGTTGATGCCAGTTTCGCACCGTTCGTCGCGTCCGAATTCCGTTCGAGCCAGGCCAGGAGCCCCGAAGGCTTAGTAGCTTCAATTGTTACTATTAGTGTACGAATGCTCCTCGATTCTAGGATTTCAAGGTCAAACATCCAATATTCCACCTGCTGGAGACCCGCCAGTCATTACAGTAAACAAAGGCCTATGGCAACCATGAGCTCATCCGCTGTGATAGTTCTGGGACTCCAGCCACTTGCGACTCATCCTCATCACAATCCCCATGCTCATTTGTGTCCCCCTTCGCTGGATTTGTCCCCCTACCCTCTTGGTGCCAAAACCATTCCTAATTCCTTGGGCCTCTGAATGCCCCAAGACATGCGACCACAAGACCTGGCTTCTCCGAACGCCTCCGGTCGCAACTGCTGGAGCTCCTCCTGGCCGCCAGGCACTACAGGCTCCTCGTCCAGATCCTCGTCCTCATCCTCCTGGTCCTGCAAGCCTTGCAGAATAATGACATGGTATTTGGCTGTTGGCTCAATATCTGCCAAGTTTGCCTTAGTCTAGTCCATTATGCTTTGTGAGGGTCAAAGGTCTTGGCAAATCTCTGCTGCAGTGGGACGTCTGTGCGCATGTAAAGCCTTCTAATCGATCGTTCGAATAAGGTCCATAGTATGCACATTATAGGTCTCGACGCGCATAGTCCGAACCTGTACCAAAGCCCCCCTAGTTTCTTAGAGAATAAGAATCGTCCATTCGTAGTCTTGCCGCGTGTGTATAATATATACAATTAATATATATATATATATGAATAGTGCGTTGGATTCTGTCCGATCATGTTGTCTGATCTGACACCATAGCAGCCATCATTCATTGCGAGCCTTAAGCAATCTTGTCAAAGACCCCACCGTGGGAGGGGCTCTAGTAGTTGTACCGCGCTATTATAAAGGGAACACCAAGTGGTGCAACGACAAAAACATCCCCTTGACCCGCGCGCTGTGGCGCGCAGCGCCTGCTCTCTGTGCGATTTGGGGTCGCAAGGCGCCCGTGGCCATGAAATGGTGCTGAAAATCATCCTCGGCGACTAGACAGAAAGGTGCTCCAGGAGTGCTCCTGTTAATGTTTGGATTGGTTCCGCAGGTCCAAATTGTTGCTTCTTGGCTGTCTCTCTTGCGGGGTTGTCCTCTACAAACGGCCACATGAATACCCTACAATCACCGCTGGTTGATTCTCGCACATGGGACGGATGCCCATCAATCTGTCTCCTTTTCAAGCATTTGAGGGGCTTCTCTTAAAGGACGCATAGCATTAAGAAACATGTCCTTTTGTGGGGCTCACGGGCCTGGCCGATCAAGCATAGAATTATCTGACATTGGTGCCTTAGGCGCTAGCCTATAGCCCGATATGAGGAGGCTGTTCAATTCAATTCGCAAGGTGATGAATCAAGAGCCTACATCCAAAAAGAACCTCCTGGTCCTTGCCGAGTCTCACACGTACGTGTGTGATGGATGGCTAGGAGATTTTCTTTGAGTGCGTGAACGTCGCCCATGATGGTGTGGGGACGCCAGGGAGCTTCTGGGCGAATATAGGGAAACCATGTGAAACCTTGAGGTGGACTGGCATTCTACTGGGGGCCCCCAGTAGGGGGCCCACAGAGGATGAAAGAGAGCACATCTCATATCACTCCATCCGTTGAAAGAGAGCATCCATTGCTGAGAGAGTCGGATGAAGAATCACTTGTCTATACTTGCTGCTTGGAGAGTCGGATTCGTGCTCCATCACTCACGGTGTTTTGGTGTGTGAAAACACACCCGATCCCGATCCGAAGAATCCGATCTTTTTCGATGCAAACAAGGTGGTGGCCTATCAATCAGGAGTCTACATTCATTAGCATTAGACATTGAATCAGTTGTTGCTTCAAAAACATGGATTCTGTTCCGCAACCACTGGCTGCACCCTGCATCCGTTCCGCAACTTATCCCGTTCTGCCGCTTGAGGCACGTTCTCCGCCAAGCTCATCACAGCCGTCAGCTTGCTCACGGCGCTCATGCGGCTGCGGTGGGAGGCTGCGCTCATACGGCTCATGTTGGTGTTTCGCGTGGCAAAGGTCACACCGCTCTTCCTGCGAACGGGAGCTTCATCGCCCCACACCCGGCTGGTATTTTGGGCGGATGCCATGCCAACGAGTTCGGCACCGCACGGAACGCCTCCGGGCACGGGGTACGTGTTGGAAGATCGGTTCAAGCGCTGAACAAACGAACTTCTGAGGGTGGTTTTTGGATGGCGCCATGAGAGGTCTGCACCGGTCACACGAATCAAGGTCACACGAATCGAGGTCACACCACGTGTTCGGCGAAGCCCCTTCTGGAAGTCAGGAGGTTGTTTAAAATCATGCTTAGGCAGTTGAAAAGCCTGAATCCCGCAAATGAAGTCCCATGGTTCACCATGACTTGGCACCAAACATTAACGCCCGGGTTGATCGTCACCCACATCATCCCACAGGGTAACCGGGCGTGACATGGACTGGACGTTCATTTTCCAGGGTGTCTCCCCAGGGCTCGAAGCCTGGTGAGATCGTGCAAGCCATCGGATCACAAAGAACATGCATGCATTCTTTCACCAACCAACAAGTGCCACGCTACTAGTAACAAGTGCCTTACCAGTAGTAACAAAAAGCTAGTAGTAACAAGTGCCACGCTACTAGTAACAAGTGCCTTACTAGTAGTAACAAGGAGCTATTAGAAACAAGTGCCACGCTACTAGTAACAAGTGCCTTACTAGTAGTAACAA